GGCGTGGTGTGGACGACACCACACCAAGGGTTGCGATCCCCTTACAGGTCACGAAAAAGACCAAAAAAAAAAAAACTCATTTAGTCTTCCTAACAATTTTGTAAGGAAAGAACAATTAAAACAAATTTTAATAATTTTATTGCCAAGCAGGTTAGGGCTTAGGGAGATTAAGTAACTTACTTGCCCAGAGTCACACAGATGATGACAGGTAGTAGAACCAGAATCTAAATCTTGTGAATCCAGATAAAGAGTTCATTCCTATATCTTTATTCCTACTGGGAATCCTTAACTATAGTTATTCTCTAAAGAGTATGTACATTGTTTTGCTTTGTATATGGTAAGTGCTCCCAATTAAATTTGAAGTATGTCCTTGGTCTTGGTTCTTTAGCCACAACAGCCATGCTCAGAACTCTGGCCTGAGTAAGTGAACCTAATTTGAAGTATGTCCTTGGTCTTGGTTCTTTAGCCACAACAGCCATGCTCAGAACTACTGTCCCTGCATGGCATACAGAAGGGGCTAAAGTGCCTGGATGCCTAAAATATGGGCTCTCCAACCAATCAATCACCCTAGTTTTTTCTTCAGAGCCCCTTCCTGCTTCTGGTATGAATTGTCCCTAATCTTAAAAATAAATAAATTTTTAGTATGTCAGATGTTAAATAGACATGGAAAATCATTATATTTCTCTTAAGGCTTTACCTTCATGACCAGTAATTTCTTGCTGGTCACAATAAAAACAAATGTAAAATGTAAAAGATGGTTGATGATGCAATGTGGAATAACTAATTTTCAAAGATATCACATGATCCAAGGAGACTCAAATGAAACAAAAGAGGTATGAAGTCAGTAACAAATTCTTCCTCATCTTCACTATCTTTTTTTCCGGGGCACTATAAAGGTACTCCTTTTCCATGGTATTCCTTGGTTTTCTTATTAGAAAAATACGATATAGTTATATGAAGTGAATTCTAAAAGCACATTTATAACATTTACATGTATTTTCTACTCCATGAAAAGCTTAAGGTTGACTTTAAGGCAAAAGTCACAACATACAAATGTTGGACTCAATTGTACTGTTGTCACTTAGGCATTTTGTTAGTTTTGTTTCTCTATGTCCTTCCAAACTCAATTTGACATTTATGTTCCAGACAGAAATGACAGTCATACACAAACAATAGCCCAATATTAGTTATGAGGAAAGAAAGAAGAAAAAAAAGTCCAAGATGTAAGTAGGCTTGTTTTAGCCTTGTCTTTTCTACTGCCTACATGCAAATACTTAAATATTTTTCTCATTGTTGAAGTCCGAAAATAGATAAGAAATAAGAGTACTAAAGCAAAGGCAAAATGAACCAATTCTGGTGATATGTAAAACACTGCTTCTCAAATTCTTTTTTTTTTTTTTTAAAGATGACCGGTAAGGGGATCTTAACCCTTGACTTGGTGTTGTCAGCACCACGCTCACCCAGCGAGCGAACCGGCCATCCCTATATGGGATCCGAACCCGTGGCCCTGGTGCTATCAGCACCGCACTCTCCCGAGTGAGCCACAGGCCGGCCCATGCTTCTCAAATTCTGAAAGTAAACAGAGTAACTCAATTTGAGCCTTAACTTTTAAATCCAAGGCAGTTACAACTTACTTGACTTTTGTTAGACTAGATTTGAACAAAGAATGCAACATGATTTAGCAAAGAACACTGACGACTGGTGACAACCTGGGAGACCTTAATCTCTGGTCCAGATCTTCCCCCAAACTCCTAATCTGGATATCTAATAGTCTACAAAACACCCCATGTGGCTGTTCCTCAGGCATTCAAACATATTCAAAATTGAGCTCATCCTCTCTGACCCACTACAAATGTGCTTTGTTTCTTGTATTACCAGTTGCCATAGCAAACCTCTTTGCAATCATTCTAGATTCTGCTTTCTCTCTTACCTCCCTATAACAACTTTACTTTGTAAGGACAATATAATAAATAGCTTGTATTCATTACAAAAAATTCTCCTCCAGGGAAGAAAATATATCTTTAGTCTTAGTATTCTCATTACCTAACAACACAGCTCAAATATACTAGGCATACAAATAGATGGTATTTAAATAAATGAAATAAACCATAATTATCTAAAAAAACAAACTGGTACAAACTAACCTAAGTGTCATTGTTTGAAATATTAAAACGTTTGAGAGAAAAACTTCACATTCTTTAAAAATATAGCTTTAGATGAATATTCATTACCAAAAATTCAACATTTAAAAAGACAAAGAAAAAAAAAAAAAACTTGTATCTTATTTTGAAACAACCAAGGAAAAAAGTTCAAATATATGATTTACAGCATAAACTAAAGCTAGATTTGGTTTTACCAAATTTCTACATTGCAAATTAAGAATATTTTACTAGTTGAGGTTTTTCTTTTATTAAGTTTCTCTGTTACATGAAAGCATATGGGATATAAAATAATTTTATTTGATAAATTTTTATTAAACATATTTTACAATCAAGGTCATGATGCATAAAGGTGAGGTGTTTCCTACTGATCAAGAAGCATAAATTAATGTCTACTCATGGTATGCCCATCTGCAAAACAATACAGGTATATGAGGGTACTTTAAA